TCTGACTGGCCAATTGGAATAGGTGGAGGCAGAAATCGACCAGGAATAACATGGAAGTAAAAGCTCCTTTTCAAAGCGCAACATCTGGGATCTTCACATTTCACAATTTGCGTGAAATATTGACTGGTGCGCACACGAGAGACAAACTAGTTCTGATCCTTTGATAAGAGATGATGAACATCGAGCTCCGCCTTGTTGTATGGATCGATATACTCGGGCACCGTTGGAAACTGATCAATCATCAGACCTGAAAAGACCGAGGCACAGCTATTTCCAGCAAATTTTAAGTTCTGTTTCTCCAAAAGAAGATCCACTGTCCTGCCTTAAATATAAGTCGCAAGGCATATAACTATTTATTTAAGCCTTGTATACGTTTGTATTTTGATAAAAAGTTGATATAAAAATGAGTTTGCATACTTTTAGAGTCTAGATGAGTTCCATAATGAAAACTTGAAAAAGAAGGATATACCAATTTCGATGACTTTAGCGTATCGTGGATTTTCATCTGGTCCACCATCAACACTGAAGACAACTACTGGCTTGACCAACTTGGTCAAAGGATCTTTTGTAATGGAATCAAACTCTGGCAGAGTCAAAAGTCGTTCAAAGTCTTTATGATGACACGCAATATCTTAGATTGTTCTACCTCAATAGTAGGGCGACCGATTCCGTCACAAAGCTTTTTTCACTTCCGGGTGGTCAGCAAACACCTACAGTAACAAAAAAACTATACAAATAATTTTTTTAATGGTTTTAGTTAATGTTCATTTTCTAAAATAGTATTATTGTAACTTATTATTATATGGTATAAATATTACCTGATTCATGGCAGTTTTCTTTTCAGCCCTTGATTTTGTTTTGACTTCATGTTGCCGATCAACTTGTTAAGATTAGTCTTGAGTTTCTGGAAATTGGCCTTCTTCTTTTTAAAGGTTTCTTCTTCAGCATCAGTCCATAAGCCACTTCTTTTTCTGCTCTTCATAGCAAATATTTCTTGATTCAAAACAATGATTTCTGCTTTGATTGTGTCTTGAGCATGAGTCTTGGCCTTCTTTGTCTCAATTTGAACTGTGCTTAGGATGTCAGGGCGAGAGATATCTGACGTGGTATCAACGATATCTATCGACTCAATAAGTTGATCTGTATTGAACTAGAACTCTAAAGCGGAATAACTGGAATGGGAAGGAACAGATCGCTTGGTTGTTTGATTAGCCCAAAATGACATTAAAGAACCATTTTGTTTCAATACCATTGAGAAATACTTTTGAATCAAAGTCTTTACTTGATCCTCCAAATCTTTCTTTTCTTTGATCTCATTCCATATTTTATGGACTTTTTTTTGACTATCGGCATTTTTCTTAAACGGATGAGCATTATTGTACGATTTTATAAGCAAATTTAGAAGACTATTTTTATCCATCCTTTGATATACAGACAACAATGTTGTTTGACACTTTTGCCACACATTGAAAAAATAACAAAAAACTATGCTCTATGTAATAATTGCTGCATAACCAATTCCCTTTGGACAACCATTTGTAATATTCGCTTCAAACAATCATTAATAATGGCTACACAAGCAATTCCCTTCAGACAAATATTTGTAAAACTCTATTTAAAAATCATAAATAATATCAGTACTATGTCCTTGGGGACCAATTTCGCAAAAAGAATTTGAATAAAAACCCGTAGCGCGTAACCAGTGATATATGTGATACGAGAAACTACCAAGTGTTTAGCAATATATAATTAATTGTAATATATTTATATCGTATCACATAAATCACAGGTATATAAACTTTATATTTAAAAAAATATTATTTAAATAAATATCAACACGAATTTCTCTCTTTAATTACAACGTAACATTTACTTACGATAACTTTAGAAAAACAAACGTTAACATAAATATACGTAAAATAAAAAAATTCTATAAAGTGACGTCCTTTTCTGATGACCCCCTTTCATTTGTCGTCATTTGTCGTCAAGCCTTCCTTTAAACCCTGTTTTATTTCCTTGCCTAGTTCTGTCTTTCATGACTCTTTTCTGCCCTTTTTCTTTAATTCTTTCAATCAATACCTTTTCATTTCTCAGCTGTGTTTCTTTTCCAGTTTGTCTTGACTGAACACACCTTTTAATGCAAAAGGCGACTAGCTTTTCTCTCTCCTCAAAAGTTTTAGTGAAAAACCAATCCACAGAGTGGTTAGCCTTAACTTTAGAAATACTGTCAAAATATCTATCATTAGAGATACTGTCAAAATAACTATCAAATTATCTCAGCATTTGGTGCTCTTTTTACCAAAGAATCTACTTTGCCAAGAGTTCTCTCAGCCTATATATTATGAAGGGGTGCACTTGTAGCCTGTAGCTTTAATTCATTTGATGGATTGGCCAAAGGACCTGTTAAATAGCGTGATAACTGGCGAGACATGACTGCTAAGGATGACTTAGACAAACGTTCAATACATTTATTGAGGTTATCTAACATGCTGCCATTTTTTATACGTAGCGACTTAAGGGTGTTGTCTTCCAGCAAAGGGCAACCAAATGCATCAGACTGAAAAGATTTGGTTTCCCCTCAGCACGTTTCACAAAATCTAAAGTAACTTTGAGATAAGCAACCTGAAACAATAAGAAAAAATAAAAAACTATAATAAATGTAAAATAAATAATAAAAAATAATATTTGAAATGTATTAAATTTTTTTTCTTTTAAAAATGTCATTCGTTTATATACGATGTCAAAATGATTCCGCTTGGTTTCCTCTGAATAAAAAATTGCCATCCATGGTCCGGTTAAAGTTTACCTAAGAGACCAAGTGCTTGCAAATGGGTTTTTTTTAAATCGCCTAATACAGAAGTTGTGAGAGATGTTTGATTATTGCAAAACTTCTCTAGGTAGTTTATCAATATATCTTCATATAAAATCACAATCCCAGCCATATGGAAAATGATATGAAGTCTATTCCGAATATAACGAGGAAAAATCCCACAGGACAGTTTGTGACACTTCAAAAAGAGCTTAAAGCCAGATGGATCCCCTTTCTCTTTGTATCTGAAGGTATATATATATATATATATATATATATATATATATATATATATATATATATATATATATATATATATATATATATATATATATATATATATATATATATATATATATATATATATATATATATATATATATATATATATATATATATATATATATATATATATATATATATATATGTATATATATATATATATATATAGAAATTTTAATAATTTAAGCATATATTATATTTTTTTTAAAAAAATTATAAAACTGGTTTTAAAATGTACAAACTTGTATGAACTTAACTGTAACTTACCTTAACTTTGAAACGCTATGGAAAAGGTTTGTTACTCGACAGTCACGTCCAAAGGTTGTACTAGCAATAAACAAGTTAAACCTTTTGAGTTTTTTCCTTACCTCATTAGGAATGCCATTAAGTTGGTGCAGATGACAATGCAGCAATAGCCGGTCAAGAATAGCCGGTCAAGAATGTCATTAAGTTTAATGATTGCAGCATGATTTACGGATGCGTGGTTTGTCAAAGTGCAGAGAATGCTGCCGTAAATTTTATGTTTCGTTTCTGCAGGGATAACACCGTTGAATACTAAATATGTTGCTGCAACATCTTTAACTGTGTCTAGAACGTGCTAAACATAGTCGTCTGCACAACCTCCAGGAAGGGCTATAATGCTTGCTGTTAGAGCAGTACTTTGTGTGACGATGTGTATTTCGTTAATATGAATGCCATTTAAAGTATTAGCATCGAATGCAAGAGTAATGGTTTCAGAGTTAATATTTGTCTCTGCAACTTGCAGTTCAGCCAGAATACCCATTTCTCGCCCCATTTGTGATATTGTTGCAGGAGTAGGTATATCAGTTATAGATTGATTTGTTAGAAGGGATACACATGCTTGTATTACTTTTGACGTTGCGTCAACAGCAACATTGTTTTCCAAACACCTGTAAATTGCAATTCTCATTTTTGTATTGAACTGCTTCTTATTACATTTTGTTATTACAATGTCATTGGTATCCTGTTTTTTCACTTCCTCTAACTCTGCATATAAACTATCCAGTAAAATGTTGGCATTTTTGCTCAAAACTTTTTCTTTCTTAATTATGGCTTCCTTCTCCAAAAGTTTTTTTTTCAATAACATAATTTCTTTTTTTTTTTTTTTTATTTGATTTTATTAAACTTATGGTTTTTATATGAAATTTTTTAACAGTCCTGTATAAGGTTTCATTTTCTTTTTGAAGGTTGGTTATTTTATCTTTATACTTGTAGATTCTGCAATCTTTTCTTTGCAGACTTTGATGTAAAATATTTACTTTATATTTTTTCTTGATTAATAACTTTTCCTTTCTTTCAACTGAACACATTGAGTAACTATAGTAATAATTGATAGAGAACTTTTTTTAAAAACTCTGTAAAATATATAATATTTATATAATAAAAACCTTATTAAAAAATCTTGTAGTTATCGCAGTTATGGGTTGATAAGTTGCATAACTGCAAGACAACTGCAGTGCCCTTCCTAAACATAGTAATACAATATTATATAGTATTCTATTACTTTATAACAATATCTGTACAACATATATATATATATACATATATATATATATATATATATATATATATATATATATATATATATATATATATATATATATATATATATATATATATATATATATATATAATATATATATATATATAAATATATATATATATATATATATATATATATATATATATATATATATATATATATATATATATTAATTATTCACCTCCCCAAGGCCCAAGGGGGCCACTACATTCGAGGAGGCTACTCATTTTTTTTATATATATATTTTATATATATATATATATATATATATATATATATATATATATATATATATATATATATATATATATATATATATATATATATATATATATATATATATATTTATATGTATATATATATATATAAAGTTTGATAACTCCCATTATTCATTGTCTTGAGGAGCAGTAGGCACACTCAGTATCCTGTTTGATTGAAACTTTCTATTTAATTGAAAAGTTGTGGAGATACCGACAGTTTCACTACAATATAAATAAACATGTAAAAATAAAATTGTAATTCTTAAAATCTTCAAAGTTAAAAACTAAACAACAAACATAATAATTAAAACTTATATATCAAAATCATATACGTACTAACACGCAACTCAAGGTAAAAGTTAAGTATTACTTGATCAATCCATTAGTTTGTGCTTTGATATAGTAGTTATGTGGATAATGGTATTTTAGAACTCAAATTTCGGGCTTACAGAAAAGAAGACTTTGCAAGTACTGATGGGTTAGCTACAATGTAAATAACTATATAGATATATTATGTATACAAAGTTAATAAAAATGTTTTAGTAAATAAAAATTTACTAAAACATTGTAAATTTGATTTTAAAAAGTCTATCCTAAAAGGCTTACATTGCTAAATATGTTCATAAGTCATAAAATTAACAGGTTTATCTAAAAGTAAAGGAGTTCTATATAAAAGATATAAATTTAGACAGCTTACTTGATTGGTCCATTCTACAGTCTTTTGGTATAGTAGTCACACTTGATTTGAATAAAGATAACTTAGAATGCAATTGAATGCTTGAGATAAGATGGCTGTGGAGGTGGTGATGGTTTAACTAAAATGTAAATCCGAGTGTATATTGTTTGAGATATGTTCATTACAATTATTATTAGTCTTCAAAGATGTAAAGTACATACATACTTACTTACATAATCAATTGAATATACTTGCGGTACCACATAAATAATCTTTTTGTATAATTAAACATTTGTAACTTTTTTTTAATACTTGAATGCATCCATGCTATATTATAATATAGCATGCATGCAAGTATTTTTGGAACTAAGGTCTTCACAAACTTTATTTCATGTTTATTGTAACATCAAATTAGCTAACCTGTCAATATTTGTACCTTTTGCATTAACATACCACATAAAATTCTTCCTCAACTGAAAAATAAAAACTATTTTACTATACCATAAAAATGGTTAATCATTTACTAATTAAAACTTGCTTCTTTATTTTTTACATAAAAATTAGAACAAACTAAACAAAACTATTATTTTATAATATATATATATATATATATATATATATATATATATATATATATATATATATATATATATATATATATATATATATATATATATATATATATATAATATTATTTGCTTTAACAAGCAATTTATTTAATTTTTATATTATCATTTCTACTGTTATTGCATTAAACTAGTAATATTAACTCTGAAGAAATTGAAAAAAATTAATTTAGATTAGAATAATGCACAATTATGGATTAATTATGTTATTATTTTCAGCTTATATATTATTAGTTTCTATATAAACATTAACAAATTAAAATGAAACCTTTAAAAGAGTTGTATAATCAGTACTTTTGCGCTTTTTTGTTATCTGCTAATTATCAATTCCTTCTTCAGTTTCTGATATTTAAAACTTTTGCAATCCTCATTGTCTGTAAAAGGAATAACAAAACATCTTATCCAAAGCAATGACAAATAAATTTAAAAAATAAATTATTAAACATTTTGTAAATAAAAATTATAATATCACAAACTAAAATAACAATTCAATAAAATATCAAGCTTTTGGTTCTTCCAACCAAACAGCCTGGCAATATGACATTTTGCTAAAATGTTAACACTAATTTGGTTGAAGGTACATCAACACATAACATTAATTTGTAAGTAAACTTGTTAAAAATATTTTAAATAAGTTTAGTCGTCTAGTTTTTTAGCTTTTTTTAGTAACTTTAGTTTTCCTAATTCCAAGGGATGATATACATATACATACTATATATTTCAACCAGTAAAATTTCAAGCTTGGTAGGTCTTTCATAACATAATAAAATAAATGAAAAATAATGCAATAAATATTACAATAGCTTTTAGATATAGAGCATAAGATAAAAACAGAACAATTTGAATTCTCTTTTAACTAATTTAAACTTTAAAGACTCAAACCAATAATCAACGTACCTTTCAAATATAACAGGAATTACCTTTAATCTTACATTATTTTTAAGCGTTGAATTTTTATAAATAACTTTTCATAAGCCTGAGCAATTAGATAATGATTTAAAAGGTAAACATCTGACAGATGTTTAACTATTAGAATCATATCTAAAAGAACAGAATTTGCAGTTTATCTTGTGATTACTAAAAAAATAACTATTAGTTTTAAAAATCACTGCAGTTTTTATTTACAGAATGATCTTTACAGAAATAGCCATTAACTTAATTATTATTTTAGGAAAATTTAAACTTTAAAGGAGTAAAAACGTCACAAAAAATCAATTTACCACTTGCATGTGTACTTGGTTGTTTCCTGCTGCTTTAATTGTTGTTGCAACTGACTGGACTGTATATAAAATATTAAATGAAATTAAACACGCAAAACTTAATTAACAATAAAAAATATATTTGCGTGGATTTCAGAAAATTATATAATATAGCTATATTATATGTAGTATATATATTATTGTTCAAGCCGTGTTAATTTTTCTACTAAATGGAAAATAAATGATACAATATAATAATCTATCATATCAGACATAAGTAAGTTTATTTTCTCTTAAGTGGTTATCATATAGGAGTATGAATAATACTTAAATTTTTAAAAATATTTTTTAGTTTACACTAAAAGCCTACACTAAAACTAAAGCTCCATTATATAAATATTTGAACCTCAAAATTTTTGATTGGCACTGTCTGCACTAAAAGTATAAACATTATAACATTGCTATTCGATCAATATAACATCTATCATAATTAATGAAAGATGTTATATTGATCTGTTTATGACATAAACAAATAGATGTTAGGTTTTAATGTAAACAAAAATAATAATTTTGTTTAGTTATTTAAAAGTAGATACCATTTAAAATGCATAATTTTTCTCTAAAACTTTTAGAAAAAATTAATTCATTTTAAGTGGTAGAAAAATTAGGAAGCTAAGAGTTAACTATAGACGTTCTATAGCGTTGTTAAAAACCAAACAGAAAAAACAATTTAAGAAATAATTTAAAAAAATGCTGAAACTGATACATTTTTGAAACTGCTGCTGACATAAACAGACATAAACAAATAGATGTTAGGTCTTAATGTAAACAAAAATAGTAATTTTGTTTAGTTATTTAAAAAGTAGCTACCATTTAAAATGCATAATTTTTCTCTAAAACTTTTAGAAAAAATTAATGCAAGTGGTAGAAAAATTAGGAAGCTAAGAGTTAACTATAGACGTTCTATAGCGTTGTTAAAAACCAAACAGAAAAAACAATTTAATAAATAATTTTAAAAAATGCTGAAACTGATACATTTTTGAAACTGCTGCTACTTTTTTGAAACTGCTATATTAGAGCAATAACTAAAAGAATTATCAAAATACATAGTTACTGTACTTAAAATTACTTTTAATCGCTTATACAACATTATCGAAGAACTTACAGGACTTTTTAGCTGCCTCATTAGCCACAGTATAATACTAAAAACAAATTTCTTTTATCTTTTCTAAACCATTTATTACATAATTTAAGATTCATAAGAAATTCTAATTTTTTACCATAATGAAAGATTCAAAATGTCCGACACATTTTGTGCGAAACTAATTTATTCCGTACGGAAATCGTTTGATTTAGCTTTTCAACGCAAATTAAATATTCAGAACACGTTTAGAATAGGTTCCTAAACGTTTAGATCAACGTAAATGACATCTAAACGTGATCTAAACCAATTTTAAACCATCAAATGCCCGTTGGGATAGATGTAGCAACACCTACGCATGTTTTAAAAATGTTTTTTAATAAAACAAAAACAAAAACACCGCTAATTAGAAAAACTTTCTAGTCATTATTATTGCGGTTTTTTTAAAAAACAATAATATTTAATGTACTTCCGCATTAATTTAATTGCTTTGACATTTCGACGACAATAAAATGCAGCTTAAAATTTTTTTACCTCGTCTCTTAAGAGACGAGGTAAAAAAATTGTAGTCTAAAGAGACTTTTTTTACCATAAAAGTCTCTTTCGACTACACTATAAGGATATATATATATATATATATATATATATATATATAATATATATATATATATATATATATATATATATATCCTTATATATATATATATCCTTATATATATATATATATATATATATATATATATATATATATATATATATATATATATATATATATATATATATATATATATATATATATGTATATATATATATATATATATTTATATATATATATATATATATATATATATATATATATATATATATATATATATATATATAAATATATATATACATCAAATATCAATCAATATATTTTACTTTGTAAATTACAAACATGTTAAATTAAAACTTGTATTTAATTAAATAATAATAATAATATTGATATATATAATAATATTGACTTATATTATGATAATATATGTCATTTAAGTAACTTAATTATCAAGTAAGCTACATGTTTATTGAGTTAATAAAAATTTAATTAACATTTTGATTTAGTCATACGATGTAACTGTATCGTAAGCAAAATAAAAAATAAAATGTTAACATAAACAATAAACAATCCATATATACGATATTTTTGTGAAAGTCAAACAGATTAACTGGCGGATCTGAAAACTTGATTGGGACAAACTTATATACCTAAAGGGAATGTAAAAAATAAACTAGATATATTGAAGTTTATGCCATTTTAATAACATTTTTGAGATTTTGGATTTTTGTAAAAATACACAACTTTGTAAACTGACCTTTTTTTGAGTTCATATAACTCGTCAAAAACCCAGAAACTACTACAGAAAAAATTGAGTCACCGTTAAAAAGAGCCGAGTCTCCTCTTTGTTATGGAATCGGACGCGGATCATTGGTCTCACACAACCAGTTACACCATTTGTTGATCCGGACAACACTTTTAGTTTGCGCGACGCAACTCACAAAAAAATGCTTAGGCATAAATTAACAAAATTTCGCTAGCCCGCGCTATTGATATTGAAGTGCCTAGACTACTGTTGAAATATAATTTTAATTTAGTTTAGTTTTTACTAAAACAGTATAATTATTATTATGTCATTGCTATTTTGTGTAACTAAACCTAAAAATAATTCAGCTAACATAACTCTTAAAATATAATAGCTTTCTTTTTTTTAATTATATTTTTGTTTTAAATGACCGTGTTAAAAATTTTAAGAAAAGCTTGAAGAAAAAATAACTATTGGTAGAAATTCTTTTATCACAGACTTTATACCCAGCAAACACGGGGACGTACAAAAAACGTACAATGAACGTTCAGACGGAACGTTCATTGTACGTTTCTGATTCTAGATTAGACGCTTAAAGACGTCTTTTTCGGACGTTCAAAAGATGTTCTATAGAGACGTAAAAGTTTCATTTGCGTATTAAAGTGTTCATGATAGAACAGCCAAAATTTGGTCCAGAAAAAACGTCTTTTGAACGTTCAAAAGATGTTCAGAACGTCTCTAAAGCAGTCAAACGACGTTTGTTAAGCTACAAGCGTAGATTAGTAATTGCAGAAATTTGATAAATGAATTACGCAGCTTAATTAACTTAAAAACCCCACAATTGTAGGTTTTTACCACTGGATTTTAACGTTTAGAAAACATAACCGGAACGTCAGCAAGTGCAGATATAAAACACAATTTGCAGTGTAAACCATGTTAAAGATACTTCACATTACAAAAATATTTAAAAAACATCTTGAAAACTGTTATTATGATTTTCTTTATCCCGTCCACCTCCGCCTTTTCTATCCGGCGCTCTTTTAACACATTTCCAACGCATTTTTCTATTTCCATTTCATCATACTTTGACATGGCCTCTGCAAAAATAATTTTAAAATATAAGATTTATAATATATATTATAAATAGCTTAATCAGCCATGTATAATTAAACATTAACAAAAAAGCCATTTTATTATTGATATGAGTAAAACATAATTGTTTGATTCCATCCCTGAAAATAAAATTCCATTAATTTTAACTTAAAAATAAAAAAGTACAAAAATGATTTTTTATTTTATCAAACCTTTTCGATTATTAAAACCCATCCTTGACTATTTATAATATATTATAAAAAAATATGTACCAGCAATAACCTTCATCAGATTTGTCTTACGAAATGCATTCTTATTCCTCGTTCCATCCATATTAAAACTTGACATTAATTTGTTTGTCATGAGTCTAGGTAGTAAAACGAACTATTAATAAATATCTAGCATATATAAAAGTATGTAACCAATGAATATAGCTGGCAGAGAAGAGCATATGATTTCTGTTTTATAATCATCTTCCGCCACCATTTTCAGACATCAGCAATTTAAAAAAATTCAGGCTTCATCTTAACCATCATAAATGTTAACTCATATAATCTAGTGTTTTTTATTTCATAAATTTTATGTAAAGCAAAATGTTAAAAACAAAAGATTTAATTAAATAAATAATGAACATTTTTTCAAAGACACATACTTTAAAAGTATTGATTTTACATTTTTATAGCATAAGACACTACCAATTTCGGAAAGCTGAGTTCTCTAAAAAAAAACTATTTAATTATAGAATAAAAACGTATAAATGATGGTATATAAATTTAATGTGCAAAACATAGTAACCCAATACTGTATTATGGCAACCCATTATGTTTAAAATTCCTTATTATATTATTAAACTCATTAAAATCTTCCAAACCTGACATTTGATTTATAGAATAAGTCGAATCAGGCAATTCATTTCTTTCACCCTGTTTCTTTGTTTCTTCTAAAATCTCTTGTAACTTGTGGAGAACCTTATACTGAAATCCTGTAAAATTTAAAAAAGAAATATTTAAAAAACCCAAAAACTTATCTTTATAACTATATAAAAGTTAAAAACTGGCATAGTTTTAAGTAAATATTATTGTAAATTATTCCATACTTGCTTCTGTTAATGGAAACTTGTTTAATGCAATATTTGAAGTATTTATACTTTCTTGTTCATAGCTTTTTGATACAGATGAAGTTGAAATAAATGGAGAATTAGGCTGTGATGAGAACGATGGTTTTAAAATTCGTTGCGGTATTCTCGATTTTAACGGTTGCCGATGAATTGGGGGTAAAATGATAGGAGAAATCTCTTTTCTTTTATTTTGGGAGAAAAATGAAGATGTAAATAATGAAGATTGTGACTCAGTTGATAATTAAATTGGGAGATTTAAATGGTTGTTGGAATGGTGATTGTGTTATAGAAGATTTTCTTTTTACAGCTATTGAATCTAAAATATATAAATATTAGGTAAATAGTAATATAAAATATAAAGTAAGATGTATCTATCAAATAAAAAAACTTGCGT